CACACACACTCACACACACACACACACACACACACACACACACACACACACACACACACACACACACACTCACACACAGACACACACACACACTCCTATGTCCCCAGAAATCCGTACAGTCATGACGAGTGGTAGGTACCGTAGGGTGCCCAACTTAACGTAAGGTAGCTTGCGTTAGGGAGCCCTTTTCCTCTGACCGAACTCCTGTTGTAATGTGCCTAACTCCTGCTACCCACCTCTCGGTCCAGCCCGTAACGGCACATATTGGCCCCGCGGCCCGCACCACTGAGGTATCTCCATTGTCACCTGCGAACACCTACACTCCACTGCGAGTGCCTACGCTGATAGATCCTCGTGCGGTTGATACGATGACGGCGCGGCGAGACATGGTGGCACGAGGGCGCGAGGACGGACCTGAGGGAGGCGGCAGAAGGTGATGGCGGCGGTGGTTTTGAGGAGGTGTCGTGGTAAAGGGAAGAAGCGGGCTAGCACTGTGTGGGCTGACGAACACCGGCGGGCAGTCTTTCCGATCATGAGCGAACTTTTATTTTTTATCGGCCTTCGACTGAGGGGACCACCTCTCCTCTCGTGGTTACTTAGTCGCTCTGGCAGATTGATTACTTAGTCGCTTGAGACCTCGGGCCAGCGCCACCACGCGTCCTCCCCTTCACCCCTCGGCTCGTGTGGATTCGAACCACGGCCGGGATGGAAGCTTCCTTCCTGCTTCCATCTCGCATCTGATTAGTTTTCCATTTTCCTCCTGTGCACGAGCGGGGAGGGCTCAGACGGAGCGCGCGACATGAGAGGGCCGAGAGTGGGCAGGGGGGGGGGGGGGTCAGCCGTGCAAAAGCATCATTCATAATATTAATTAATTAACGAACAGGTATTGCCCGGCCGTCTGTGGAGTCTGTCCCAATCTGGAGGAGACGGGTCAGCCCCGTGAGGTCCAGATCACGTTCACATTGTCGTAGCCGGAGAGGATGTTGACCTTTGACTACTGGGGCCGCGCATTCCGCTTGCGCCGCAGCTGCCCTCCACTGCGCACTCTCCGCTCCGTCCTTCTCGCGGAGGCCCCCCCAGCCCGCCCCCCCCG